ATTGATTGATAGTCTATGTACACTATAATTATATTTATACCAATAATTTGCGCGTTATATTTCTAATCGTAAGTCTAATTACGTTTTAACAAAAGCAGTAGAAAAATATTAAGTACTTGCTTACCCTTGCCTTTTGCTTAGCAAATTCAATATACCATTTCTATGGAAAAGTCAAAACCAACTGGCAATATCGTTAAAGGAGCATTTGAAGTGTCTGAAATTAATTATAGCAATTGAAGGCCAGGTCACGCTACTTCCATTTCATGTTTATTGAAAATTTTATACAGGGTGTTCCGAACAAGAAGCGACCTCTTCGCTTTTGCTATTGCAAACGTTAATGCGAAATGTAGATAATTTATTCTGACTTTATATCATCTGTGCAAGTTTTTCAAGTGTTTCAAAATAATGCTTGTTAAACTAAAAAAGTCGCCTTTAAGAGATATTTTTCAAAATAACATTTTTTTAAGGGACCTTGTGTGTTACGTCGTATAATTTATAGAATCATACAGAATATAGCTCAAGTTAATTAAGCCATCTTTAAATAATTGATTTCTTAATTCTTCTCTAACATGCAATTCCCAGATAAAAAATGTCTGTGCACGAATGAGCACAGTACGTCTCGAGGGGAACTGTAACTATTGTATACAGGCTGTTTTAGGGTGACGTGACGACCCATTTCAGAGACTACTTCGATTTGAATTTTGAAAATTTGGGCCCTGAGGGGTGATCTCTTTGAATAAAATAATGTCACTTCCGATTATACAGGAAGTCGTCCTCTACTTTCTTATTTTAAATGAAACACCCTGTATATTTTTGCATATTTGGTATCTACCTGAAATTTTAAGGGGACTTTTATCAAGCTTCCGTATGTATCTCCAACGACTTTCGAGATATTTCAATTCTTTCAAAAAAGTTGCTTTTCGATAGCCTAATTCAAAAATGCTTATTTTTTGCAAAGTGCAAGCTGAAGTATTGATATTTGAAAGAGAGCTAGATGGGGATACCTATAATTTATTACAGTTACTTTAAAAACTGTTTAATTTTACACAGGGTGGGTGAAAACTTATTGTCGAATTTGTTTAATTTCGAACTTCCAAAAGTTGTTTTTTTTTTAAATGGAACACCATGTATATTTAATCAAAAACTGTTTTTATCCTCTATCTATTAGCTGCTTTGTTTTCAGGTTTGCTAGCAATTTCACAGCCATCCTAGCAAGAATTTGGATCATTTTAATTACTTATCACAAAAACCGCCGATAACAGAAAAATTAAAAGTGATAGGTATAGGGAAGTGCGACAGATTAGTTACGATCATAGACCACCTAGACTGGCTTATAGAGCGACTTTGGTGAAAACACTTTGGAGCCTGATTTGGAGCCCAGCGCTCAGTCGTGTCCTAGCATTTGACGTGTACGCATCGCTGTGATTTCGATAATTAGACGTTTTATCATGGGCAAGTGTATTGTAAAACATTGTATAAATAGAAGTGATCGAGTTGGTGAAGAAATTCGAAAAGTTTCCCACCTTTAGGTAAGTAAAAAAAAGGAATATATAAAAGGTAAATATGTACGCCATTTTTCGGTTAACGTCACAAGTTTCCAGGGTTAGCTTTATAATTTTGTTCGCCCACATAGTGTAGTGATTAACGTGATATTGTTATTATAAAATAATGAATGAATTACTGTAAAATATTTTTAGTAATTATTTACTTTATGTCTTAAATTTTTATGAAATTTTACCAATTCCCGTCATTTCGAGATAGCTGAAAATTAATTAAATATTTTTTTCAATTAAAAAAATCGCAAATAAAACTAATTCAGATTCAGTATTCGTACAGTCAATTAATTTTTATTAAAGATCGTGGTTGTTTAACGTATCCATCTCGAGATGTCGTAGTAATATGCTAAGAAACAGAAAAATTAATAAAATTTTTAAATAATTAAAGCAGAACACCTAGGCTACAGAAAAATAAACTTGTTTATCATGTATTAAAAAACTTTCTGAATGTGAACATATTTGAAAATTTGCATGAACATCAATTTGTTAATTTGCTTAACAATTGTAATCATTTAATAGAACTTGTAAGGGCTGAATGTGAAAAGTATATCGATGTACGAATAAATCATGAAGTCAAATTATTATTTAATTCGGTAAAATCTACGAAAAGACAAATATTAAATAAATTAATATTATTTAGAGGATAGTAAATATATTTAAATTATTTTGTAGTTTTATTTAATATGACACTAAAATATACTATTTTCTGAATTACAAACTTAAAATTGAATATTTGTCATAAGATGCAATATAATGTACATATTAAATGTAATAAAAATATTACTTAATCCGGATCTGCTTAAAAATGCGCGCGATCAGATTGCCTTGCACACTCCATTTCCCCGGATTTTGCATTCACTGGTACCCGTGCATTGGAATTAGATACGGCCAGTCTAGGTGGTCTGTGGTTACTATAGATAGATAGTAAAATTCTACAACATATTTTGATTCAATATACAGGATATTGCATTTAGAGAAATCAAGTTTTAGCGGTTCGAAGTTAAGCAAATCCGGCAATAAATTTTCACCACCTACCTGTGTAAAATTAAGTTTTTAAAGTAACTGGCACCCCCCTATCTCCCTCCGAAATATCAATACTTCAGCTTGAACGATGTAGAAAATTTTGAATTAGGCTATCGAAAAGCAACTTTTTGATATAATTGAAATATCTCAAAAACCATTAGAGATAGATATAGGGACACTTGATAAAAGTCCCCCTAAAATCACGCGTAGAATCCAAATATGTAAAAATATACAGGATATTCCAAGTAAAATAAGCAAGTAGATGGCGACAATGATATGACATTATTTTATATAAAGAGAGCATCTCGGAGAACCCGTCTATATTTTCAAAATTGCAATATCAATTATTCTATAATTTTCTAGATTATTTCAGTAAAATTTAATTTAATAATTGATATTAAATAAGTTAAGTAGGTATAAATCTTAAACAGAAAACAGCAAAAAATTACATTTAAAGATTGTTTAGAAAATTCGATATCAGTAACCAGTTGACTTGTGTCCTTTTTATAAATTCAAGTAAGTTGTTCTTCAATAACAGAACTGTTTCTTAAGATAATAGACCTTCTGGATTTATTAATTAACTACTGTTTACTATTTATATTTTAATTTATTACTCTTTGTTACGCTTACGTTACTGTATGACATACTGCTCTAGAAAATATTAACATGACTCAAAAAAACCACCAAGTTATAAAACGTAGTCTCAAGCTTAGTTCTAAATCTGTTACATTAGTTTCAGTTTCGGAGATCTAAGTATAGGTATCTAATGTAACATTTAAACTGGAATACCGTTAGTTATTTTTAAAGTTTGTAGAATCTATTCCATTATAAATATACGTACAGGGTGTACCTAAAATGCTAGGCTAAGCTTTACTGATGGGTTCTATGTCACAGGTTAACAAAAAATATTCGTATAAACATGTTCCAGAAACGCTTCGTTTTTGAGATACAGGGTGTTAAAAAATCTCAAAAAAAAATCATATATCTTTTGTGTAAATTAGTATTCTGTACCTAATTAGTTCGAAAACAAAGGCGCAATCGTGAAAAATTACTGTTTCTGCGCATAAAAATGAATTTCTATCTCATTTTTACAGGAATATTAAACGCAATAGTGCCAAAGTTACTCTAAACTCAGGAATTTAATACGTATACAGGGTGTCTCATAATTTGTGTCCAATTTACTTTCTATTGCCAAATATAAGAATATTTTTCCATATAAACATGGGTCGAAAAATGCTTCCTAAGGGAGCTACGCCCCCCTAAATGGGACCTCAAAAAAAATTTTTTTTTTTAATATTTCCGAAATGGGTTGAAATAAAATCCACTTAAATGCATATCCCTCTGGACCACACAAGAAACATTATTAAAAACATATTAAAAATATTCGCTCGGGACGCCACTGGACTTATCAAATGTAATCAAGTTAGAATTAAATTAGGTCCTTAACACTACAAATAACTCTGTCAAATTACAACAAAATTAGGTAAAGGGTGTTTAAGATATTTACGAAATAGCTATTTTTTTACAAAAGTTTAACTCGCTGTATCTTGAAAATGAAGCATCTGCGGATCAATGTTTATATGAACTTTTTGTATTAAAATCACTCAAATAATCGTCTGTTGAATTTATTGTACATATTTAATTAACACCCTGTACATTAATAAAATTCAAAAATTTTTTACATGTTCCTATTTTCAAATTTAAATAAAATTTGATAGATTTAAATCCGTTTTTCTTGAAAATGGAGCATTTTATCGAAAGAAATAAAGAATACCTTTTTTTGTAGACGAAATGAAGGTCTATCATATGTTGGCCTCTGAATTTGAAAATTTCGACAAGCAAAAAAATTGAGGCAAATTTTAGCTGACGAGCCCCCCCCCCCATTGAGACGTCCTTGATAAAAATTTTATGATATATTTCGATTTTTAATGAGCGTTCATGGTGTCAAAATTCATAATTTTTCTTCAACCCATTTCAGAACTATTTAAAATAAATTTTTTGAGACCCCATTTAGGGGGGCGTAGCTCCCTTAGGAAGCATTTCTCGACCAATATTTATATGAAAAAATATTCTTATTTTTGGTAATAGAATCAAGTGGTAAATTATTGGACACTAATTACGAGACACCCAGTATATTAGGATAACTTTTAAGTGCTCTATTTTATTGCATAAATCAATCATATTTGTAAGTGTCAACTATTTTAATTCAAAAAATCCCTATATAGAACAGAACTAGATTTGCGAATTGACGGATGTGGTCGTGCTCGGATATATGTAAGTATAGGAAATAGCTTTCCAGATCTGTATGAATTCCGTGATATGTAACTCAAGTCCGCGACGACACTGGAAAGACACGTTTATAATAGGTACTTTGAATAATTAACGTAATTTTGCGTTTATTATTCTGACTGTACTATGAACCTTGAGTGTAAAAGCATAGCTTATATAACCAATGTATGGATTATAATGGCAAACGGCCCATTTATGTATTAGTTATTAAAGACGTCTGAAGTAAGTATAATAATAATAAAAGTGTTTAACTTGAGTAATATCCCATTACTTTATGTTTACGGAAGATTTTTCTCTAATATCATATTTTCCTATTTGTTGTAGAATTTAATGCTGTCGTTTGATAGTTTAATATAATATAAAATGATGAATGTTGTAATAAAAAAAAATAATAATAAACAATGAAAATTACTGATTAATTATTATATACTGATTCACACACTATTTTTACCACAATCATTATCCGTGACACATTGTGCAGCATCATTGTAACTAATGCTCTTGACATAAATATTCCAAAATAATCTCGAGTACTTCAGCGTAATAATATTAGCGATATTAGTTTTATTATTGCACATATAATCTATATGGTCAAGGTCATCATCACACAGATAACGCAATCATATTTTCATTTGCATAATCATTCTATAAATCTGTTCCGAACAGATTTATGGATTTCTTAGGACATTAAAATTTGAGTATATACAGTGTTTTTAAAACATACAGGATGAATCACAACAAAAACAATTTTTTTTGTGAATACATACTTTGAAATCGAACTACAATTTTTGGTTAAGAGTCCGTCACGCGCTTGAAATAAACCCATTTTAAGGGTTCGGCCCATAACAGATATTTGGAAAACGAATAAACATAGCGGCCCAAATAAAAAAACAATCGAAAGACAAAGTGTTTTCCTAATGCTGTCTTGTAACAGTTTTTTCAAAATTGGTTTCTAATTGTTTAAATTTAAAGAGTAAACTATGCAAGAAATCGTCATATTTACAATTTATTTACGTAAAAATAAAGGCTTAAATCAAAAATTGCTTACAAGAGGGAAGTGGGTCTATCTTTTAGCTTTGCAATGATACCAAAATTATATTGATTTGATAAAAATTACTCAAAATTCTATGCTAAATCCCGAACGTCTACAACTTCAGAAACGAATATATTTTAAATGCTGCAACCACGTGTGTTTTACTCAGTGGGATGGGCTTAGAGATTGGTAATTGCGGACAGGACCGGAGTTCAAAGAAATATCTAGTCAGTGATAATCTATACGTTTTCAATTGAGAGTATTGAATTAATCGATCTTGCGGGGTTCGATTCTTTTATTTTCATTGGAAGAAGTTTTTGCATCCAATTAGATATTATATCAGAGATTGATATAAAAACTATCTTGAGTTAAAAGTTGTACGGCACAGCCAGGCAACGTTATTTCTAGCGGAAAACTAAAAAATGTATTTTTTAATAAATGTTTTTACTGCACTATCAGCGGTAATAATTAAATTTTTAATAGTAATAGTATATTTAATTTGTACAGCACAACATTTCGGCGTTTCCATCCCAGCCCATGTTTATTAAAGGAAATGCCGACAATAATCCCGTTTTCGTTTTTTGCCGTTTTTCTTGAGAAAGTATACGTTTTTTGTTTCCAAATGCACCTGGTCATACTAGTGAAATAACTCAATTATGATCGAGTGCTCGTTGATGAATATTGACGATTTTTAATTATTTTTGGTCATATTGAACTTATTCTCCGAGATTTCTATTCGGATGCCAGTTATTAAAAATGACTGCCGCTTCTTGATGAGTTTTATAATCATCTCCCACAATCAAAACTATTTAAATTTTCTCCTAAGAAGTTAACAGAGCTGCCATTTCTTGTATTTTATAAATTGTAACTAGCGTTTTGACGTTTGCTATCAAAAATTCCATTGGTTTGTCAGTGCATCTTACAGGAGAAGGTAAGGTAGTCGGATTTTTGTAATTTTTGATATTTATGGTATGTGTAGTTTGGACCTTGAATAAGAATTTTTCGAAGTAGTTCGACGCAACGTTCATAAATTACCGAGATAATCAATTTTGAAGTTTTACCTGACAGCTAAATCCACTAGCATTATGTGACCCATTTCTCAACTGGGAGCGTGGCGTAATTGGTAGCGTTCGGGACTGACAGTCACGAGATGGCTGGTTCGAGTCCGTCGCGTGACATTTTTTTTTTTAAAACGCACCATATAGTTTTTTATTATTTTTTTCATCTCGAAAATTATGAACAAACGAAATATTATAGTAAACACTTACGTATATGTAGAAATATTCTTCAAATATTTCATTAAAATGCACAATTGGTTGATAAACAATATTTATTATGAATTAACAATAAAGTTTCTTTAAAAAAAAACAAACAAGGTCAGGTAGGTTTTTTATTTTAATTTTAGTATTTGAAATTTTACGCAGTGTGGCATAAGCCAGAATGATAGTTATCATAGAAACATGGGAAGCAGAAACTTTCTATGCCCGAGCAGGTGTGTTTTTTTAATCACGACCCACACAACCTAGCTCAAAATGTTAATTAAACACTTGAAAAATATTCCTACATACAGTTATCATAATATTTCGTTTGTTCATAATTTTCGAGATCAGAAAAAAAAAGAAAGGAAGCTAGATGCTTAAAAAATTTCTGCTTCCCATTTTTTTTATGATAACTACTATTCTGGCTCGTGCCACACTGCGTGTCAAATAGTAACATAAATATAAAATAAAAGAACATCCTACCTGACCTCGTTTGTTTTTTTTAATGAAATCTTATTGTTAGTTCATAATAAATATTGTTTATCAACCAATTGTGCTTTTTAATGAAATATTTGAATATTCCTACATATACATAAGTATTTATTATAATATTTCGTTTGTTCATAATTTTCGAGATGAAAAAAAAATAATAAAATACCATATGGTGCGTTATGAAAAAAAAAATGTCACGCGACGGACTCGAACTAGCGATCTCTTGACTATCAGTTCCGAACGCTACCTATTAGGCCACGCTCCCAGGTGAAGAATGTGTCACATCTAGTGGATTTAGCTATCAGGTAAAACTTCAAAATCGATTATCTCGGTAAATTATGAACGTTGCGTCGAACTACTTCGAAAAATTGTTATTCAAGATCTAAACTACACGTACGATAAATATCAAAAATTACAAAAATCCGACTACATTACCTGTTAGATTTAATGTCTATCTCTAGACGTAAATTATCAAGTTTGTAAAAATAACAAAATCTGTTTTTTAATGGTAAATGGATAATATTGGATACCTGTTTGTAGTTTTCTATTTGGATCAACTTTAAATAACGATTGTCGATATTGTAAAAAATAAAGGTAGCAAAATTTACATTTTTCGACAAACCTCGTATACGACTGCAAAAAATTGAAATCTGATTATTTCATTTTTGATTTTAGGCCATGCAGAACTCTTCGTCAAGAATAATTTTTTTTCATAAAACCAAAAAAGAGAAGGAGCGTTAAATTGAAGTCCGCGGGATGTCGGTTATTCAATTTTGTATTGCGATGAAATCTGTTTGTACAATTGCGGTACAATAATTGTATTAATTCGAAATTGACACAATTATTGAAGCAAAAATTGTAACGTTAGTGGCTCGTTTAAATCAATCTAAATACGTCCACTGTAAAATCATCGTAGTGGGAGAGCGATAGTCTCCGCCTCCAGCTGTAACGCCCGTGCACCCGACCCCGCAGCGATACCTTAGCAGTGTACAGAGAACGGACTCTTAAGTTAAAATTTTAAATAAAATACCAGTAGGTACGGCCCTGTACCACATAAGATTTTATTCACAATTTTTTCTCAACTTTTTCATAAAGTTTTTAATTTTGAATGAAAAATGTTTCTTGATATTTTTGCTATAGAATTCAATTTTCTATTTTCCCAAATGCGTTCAAGGCAAGCTTGATGGAACATGCCAAACCAATTTCTTGTCTGAATGAATTTTTTAAAAATTTTCGCCCTATTATTAAGATGCCGTATTTTCGAAATGTTCGTATGATAAAACTTATTTATATTCTAGTATTGTCACCACCGGGTCCGACGTTAATCTGATTTACTCTGTGTAAAACTCACAAAAAGTGTCTGTGAGTATGGTCCCGGAAATACTTTTTATTTGCTGTGTTAGTACAGGAAGGAATATAAAATATACAGGGTGTTAAAAATAGAGTGTAAAATATTTCAGGAGGTAACAGTATGAACCAAAATAAGCAGAAAAGTCTTAATAAACATGGGTCCGCAAAGTAACGGTTGCGGATCACTATTCGTTTTTCAAACATTTTATTTTATTAGGAATAAACCGACAAAGGAAGATTTTAACAAACAAAAAACAAAGTTACAAATGTTCAAAGTGCCCTCCGTCCATTTCCAAGCAGGCACGACATCTTCGTCTCAACGATATTCGAACTCTTTCGAAAACACCCTCCTTGGTTTGGATTTCTTGACACTTTTGATTAATCCGTAGCTGCAGCTCTTCCAGGCTATTTACAGGAGTACCATACACTAATGTCTTCAAATATCCCCAAACAAAGAAATCTAGAGGGTTCAGATCAG